TAAATTAATAAAGAACTCAACACTTGGATAATGATTAATAGTTGAGCATATTTACCGATCTCCAATTATATATGCACAAACTAACAACAACAATGGCGCAAAGAAACAAACACTTTATTTACAAATGTCGAATGCAAACTGCGCGACGCGACTGATCTTCATTAACAGCGGGCGACCCTCAAATTGAGTGAGAGCTTAAAAGCACTCAAATGGAAGTAGAAAACACTCACATGTGCTGAGATGGGTAAATACATACGTAATCAGCGCCAGCTGCAAGATGACGTATTCACAAATATACACACTTACATTTTTACACACTTATTTGTGGCACCCGGCGCTCACGCTCGCGCTCGCACTCACACTCTCTCGCTGCTCGCCGCTCGCCCTTTCTCATTTACTCGCGCCGCTTGGCTGTCGTTCTGTGGCTTTGCCGCTGCCGCCGTCAGTTGAAGTTCATGCGTCGCTGGCGACGAGCGCGTCTGCAACGGTGACAACAAAAGCGCCGTACAAAAAAAAACCCACGCCTCGCTAATGATCGCGACAACACGCAAACACGTAAATCTCATAATATTGCAAAAGTATTCAATAAAAATATATCGCCAAAGGCGATAATAAGCGTCAAGGAAAACACGGAGAAAAATATAATAACAATAACAAACACATGAAAAGCAACACAATTAAATTACTTACCAAAAATAAAAAAACAGTTAATTCATGCCGTGACAAATTTTACACTATAAATGAAAAGCTATTAAAATCACATTTCCTGATAAAAAAAAACACACACACACACAGAAATAAAAACATTAATAATAATGGTACATTAAAAAACACGTCATTAACGGTGTAAGCACGCGGCGAAACTATACGAAGTACAGAAACAAAAACACAACATAAACAAAAGCAATGTAAAGAACTGTGTAAATTGAACCAACATCACGTGAGAGGTGCGAACTGAGAGGCGCAAACAACTCAATTTACATGTTGCTTTTTATCTCTGCTACTCGTTGCTCCAGCTGATAACGGCTTTATCGCACGCGCTCGCTCATTTGCTCAAGAGAGCTGCACCGTAAGCTCTCTGCGTATGGTAAGCGCATTCTCTCACTCACGCGTTCGTGTTCTCGTTCAACCGGCTTCACGTGCTGCATGCAGCAGCCGGCTAAAGCGCAGCTTCTAAACGCAAATCATAACAGCAACAGCAACAGCAGCAGCAACAACAACAACAACTAGTTCGATAAATATCGAAAGAGCGGCTCATCAACAACAACAATAAAAACAGAGGCAAAACAAAAACAAAACCCGTTGAGAAGGTCAATGTACAGGCATAACGGCGCAATTGCAATGCAAAGCTGTTGTTGTTATTGTTGTTTTTTGTTTTAGTAATAACCCGCATTAATTAATGATTCAGTAATTCGTAGAAGCACATAAAAAAAATTGATTGCACACTTCAAATTGAAATCGTTTTATTTTTTTTTAAAAGAAACAATGCCTAAATTTAGCTGAGACTCTAAAACAAAAGACGTCAATGCAAGACGACACAAGAATCCCCCTAATGCAATGCCATAAATAAACTGTTTTAAATGGAAAGCGAATGAAAAGCGATTGGAAATGAAATCACAACAAGAGCAACTTAGTCAATTGCTCCCCCATCACACACACACACACACACACACGCACACCCGACAAATCGAAGGCAACATTTCGCTGTCAACAATAAATTCTTTTCAAATCAGTTTCCTACAACCAGCAGGAGGGGCGGGGGAGGACTACCCAAAGTGTGCCAAGCGCACGTACAGTTTATCAATACTCAGCGGGCATTAGCTGCTCAAAAGTATCTACAGTATGTCAATAAAGTGTTTTTACTAACGAAAAAAAACTAATTTTTTGGGTTTAGTTGAAAATAAATGTACCTAAAAGTGAGAATTTTTTTTCAATTATAATTTATTTCGATTCTATATTTTTCCTAGAACTTAATGGCAAAAAGAATTGTTAAATAACATTACCCAAACATTTTATAAAATTAAAAAACTAAAAACATTCAAATTTTATGCTGTCAATAAAGTGTTTTTACACGAAACTTTATTACTAAATAACAATGTTAAAAAAACAGGAATATTTTTTTTTAATACTTTGTGTGGCTGCCATTAGCGTCACATACTGCCTGCAATCGCCGTTTCATTGAAACAATAAGGTTTTGTATGTATGTTTCTGGAATCTTCTGCCATTCTTCCAGTACAGCAGCTTTTAAATCAGTTTTTGATTTTGGACTCCGCTTTGCGAATTTTTTTTTCAAATATGACCACACATTTTCTATTGGATTCATATCTGGACTTTGTGGTGGAGTGTCTAACACCTTTCCACAGTTGTACAACAGCCAAACTCTTACCATATGAGCTTTATGCTTCGGGTCATTGTCCTGGTAAAATTTAAAAATTGGCTTATTGCCCTCATAGAATCCAAATTTCTGTGCACTACTGACGAGATGTGTCTGTAAAATGCTCAGATATTGTCTAGCATCCATGGTATTCTCAATGAAGGTCAAATCTCCTACACCCTTGCTCGAAATACACCCCCACACCATCACTGATAGTTTTCCGAATTTAACGGTTGGAATAATATTGCGGTTTTCCAACGCTGTTAGAGGCTTTCTCCATACTCTGGATGGCCCATCGTTGTAGAATAGCATCATCTTGCTTTCGTCACAGAATATGACGTTACTCCAAAAATCGTTCGAACTATTTACATGGACTTGAGCGAACGATAGCCGCTTCAAAATATTCGCCGCCGATAGTAGAGGTTTTTTCCTGGCAACTCGTGATGTGTAGTCATTGGAATTCAGTAATTTTCGGACAGTTTCATGTGACACATCAACACCACTTTCTTCCTTGACCTCCTGAGCAATATCCCTAAGCGAAATTTGTGGATATTTCTCAATTTTTCTCAGAATTTTTCGCTTATCTCTGTCAGAAATTTTGCAGGGTCGACCACATACTGGCTTTGCCTCTAGCCTATCTTCCTTATTGGCTCTGTTTAATATGTTGTATATCGTTGCTTTTGATAAATTAAACATATCAGCCAGTTCCGAGACTTGACGTCCCATCTGATGGTTATAATACACCAGCTGAGCGACTTCAAAAGTTGTTCTTTTTCCTGGCATTTTATTTTTCATAAAATTAAAGCAAAACGTTATAAATTGCAATAGAAAATGACAAGAAAAGTCGAAGACACAAGAGAAGCCAAAACGCATGGGCCCAAATCTAACGGGATCACCCAAAAGAGAACGGCAAAACAATTTACCGTAGCTGTAAAAACACTTTATTGACAGCATAAAATGTGAATGTTTTTAGTTTTTTAATTTTATAAAATGTTTGGGTAATGTTATTTAACAATTCTTTTTGCCATTAAGTTCTAGGAAAAATATAGAATCGAAATAAATTATAATTGAAAAAAAATTCTCACTTTTAGGTACATTTATTTTCAACTAAACCCAAAAAATTAGTTTTTTTTTGTTAGTAAAAACACTTTATTGACATACTGTATATATATATATATAGATACGCTTACGCTTAGTCTGTTATATTTAATTGCGCTGACAGCGGCGACAGCAAATTTTCAAGTGTATTTACGCTTTTCCGCGCCTTTTCTTAATGTTGAATGCAAGAAACGTCTGCGTTTCAATTACCTAAAGATCTGACAGTTCGTCTTATCAGGCGTTTATCTAATCTCGTACTTTTATCACACGTCTAGTGTGAGTCGCCCTCCGATTGACTCTGGCCGAATCGAGTGCTAATTGTTGCTCAGTAGCTGCCAGAATACGTTCCGAATCAGTGCTCTGGTAAGTGGTTCTCTCTGCTGTCAGACAAGTTAATCATAGCTCGTCGTCGGCTAGAAGGCAGCTCCATGGGAATTGTAGTGCTTATCGCAACCGAGTTCGAGCTACAAGTATCCCAAGCGACACACACACACACACACACACACGCACGCACACGCACACACACACGCACACACACATACACACAATAATTGCGATAAATATGTATAAACATAAAAAGCGACATAACTATTATGGTTGATTACAAGCCAGCCGGAGACTCATTAATTCCCCATTGCTGATAAATAATTTCGGAAAAGTCAAAATTATGCACACATGAAATTACGGTCTATTTGTGTTCTTAATATTTATGTGATTGAACTTAATAAATCTCATTTGATTTTCTTTAATTTTAAACATATTTATTGGCTTCTCACAGCTTGTCAAAATATACAGACCAACTCCTGTTTTTACTTATATATATTATGTTTTTTTTCTCATCAAGAGATTATAAATGCGATTAAAAGCTCAACGCGTTTGTTATGTCTTTAAAGATTATTTCCTTTTATAAAAAAATCGTTAAGATCATGGGTTTTTAAGCAAATGGGTTAAATTAATGCCCAAAAGCTCAAAGCGTATGTTTTTTTATATGTATACACTGTTCCCAATAGCGAATAGAGTATATTAGCTACAGGTTTGTCGACTTACTAGAAATTATAATAGAGTATATATAACAGAGAGACACAATAGCGTCTATATATAAACTATATAAAGAGTCTATATATAGAGTCTATATATGGACTATATATATGGAGAGCTAAGCAGATACTTTCCGAATCCTTGAACATATTTGGACTAAAATCACGGAGTTTTTTTTATAAAAAAATAAATTTTAAAGCCTTCTTTTGAGCGAAGACCTTAAATGGGAATTTTCTGTGGACTTGCTATCCATCAAATTACTTAAAATCTTTTCATCTAAAACAACTCTAGAACTATTTTCAGCAGCTTTAATTTTTTTGATTTATTATTAATTTATTTCTCCTATACGAGATTAATAAGAGTTGTCTAAAAGCTGGCAACAGAGTATCTAGCAGTCGTCTATGACTGCAAACATTTTGGCGCCTTCTCAAATAGAACTGAGATTCATAAACAAAGTAATCACACTCCACATAAACAAAGTAAACTCAAAACAAAAAAAAAAAACAAACAAATACGCACACATCTAAACAAATGCACATACATTTACAGAGTACAACGTATATTTGAACAATTCACAGATACGATATATATATATATATATATAAACACGCTGAAGCAGGCAATTCCGTGCGCCGGAGTACCCCTAATGACAATAATGATGTGCAGGATGACAATGTACTATGGCTGGAGGATGACAAGCGCCCACTAATTATGATAAATGCCACGTAGCTAAGCGATCCGAAAGCACAAAGAACCAAAAGCTCAAATCAAATACACATACACACGCACACCACAAACAACTCAAAAGAAAACAGAAAGAAAAAAAATAAGAAGAAAATGTCAAAATATCAAAAACTCGACAACGCGCTGGCATCCACAATGCACGATGATGATTACGATGAGAGTTTCTCACTTTATCCCGATGATAATCAACAGCAGCAGCAGCTGCAACAGCTGCAGCACAATACTGGCAGCAATCATTTAAGACTGAACAGCACTCACATGCCAAATGGTAATCCAAAATACCACAACAACAACAACAACAACAACAGCAACAACAACAACATGGACTCATTGAGAAGAACAAGAGCTGATGCTTCGGAGCTGGAGGAGCACACCTGGGAGGTTCCACTGTTGCGCAGCGGCAGCAGCAATAATAGTCGCACGAATTTGGCAAGTGTTCAAAATAAGCTTATATATCTATTAAGTATCGCTTGGCAGACAAATGGGCGATACGGCAAACCTCTTAACTATCTAATTAACTATCGCTTGGCAGAGAAATTGGCGATACGGCAAGCCTTTTAGCTTTCAAATTATAGCTTAAATCTATTTACTATCGCCTGGGAGTGAAATTGGCGATACGGCAGACCTTTTAACTATCAAATTAACTATCGCTTGGCAGATAAATTATAGCTTAAATCTATTTACTATCGTCTGGGAGAGAAATTGGCGATACAGCAAGCCTTTTAGCTTTCAAATAACAGCTTAAATCTATTTACTATCGCCTGGGAGAGAAATTGGCGATACTGTAGGCCTTTTAACTTTTAAATCTACTTACTATCGCCTGGGTGAAAAATTGGAGATACGGCAGACCTTTTAACTACCATATTATAGCTTAAACCTATTAACTATCGTCTGGGAGAGAAATAAGCGATACGGCAAGCATTTTAACTTTTAATTTATAGCTTAAATCTATTAACTATCGTTTGGGAGAGAAATAGGTGATAAATCTACTTCGCTACTTCTCCATTTGTAAGTTATGAAAGGTATAAAAAAGCGTTAAGCAAGAGCAAATGTAGGCAAACGCAATCAAATTTCTCTGCCCACAACTCAAAGCTCTACATAACCTTAAATTTCATATTTAAACGCAAAACTCAAAGTATTATTGTCGGGTAATATATGTGCTATACGTATATATATAAACAATATCAGCGCCGTTAAGCGACCGCAAACAAGGTCTTGGCATTTATATTTGCCGCAATAAGATACGTTCCGGGCATAAATATCTATAAACTGCACATAACCTCAAATTGTTCAATTTAAGTACTTATTAAGGGCGCGCTCCGGCGTGTGCCATGAAAGTTGCATGCGCCTTGCATGCGGCAGCCATTTATATGCACACACACATACACACACACACACACATGCGGGCTGACATATTTATAAGGCAATTATTACCGTTATGTTTGCAGCACTTGGAACCGAACGCCGACACTTTTGTCGCCTGCCACAGCGGGCAGCCGGGCTTTGGCGCAAACCTTAAAAGCAAATCGGCGCAGGAGGCGAAATTTAAAATTCTGCTTGCAATTTCGCTCTGTTGCATATTCATGGTAAGCACACACACACATACACACACACACACACACACTCAAACACACATGCCAGATTTAATTATGATAAATTTCAACTATATATGTATATATATACATATGTGTATGTGTATTTCGGTCGACCGGCAGATCATTGAATTCCTTGGCGGTTATATAGCCAGCAGCCTGGCCATTATGGCCGATGCCGCGCATTTGGCATCTGATTGCATTAGTTTCGTCATCGGGCTGGTGGCCATTTGGCTGGGCGGACGGCCGCCAGACTCACGCATGTCCTTTGGCTACAAACGCTTCGGTAAGTAGCCAATTATGGCCCGACACAATATGTTAATGAGTGTGTGCAACCGCTTTTAAGGGCCCACTCTTTGGCACAGTAATTGCAATTATATCCAACTTTTTGTACATGTTAGTTAGCGTCTAGTCTATTATTTAACAATGTCCCTGTTATTTTCGCACTCGCAGAGGTCCTGGGCGCCTTGGCCTCCATTCTGGGCATTTGGCTGCTGACAGCGATGCTCGTTATTGTTGCCATCGATCGCATCTACTCGCAGAACTTTGAACTCGATGTCAATGTCATGATGTGCATATCGGCCATTGGCATTGCCATTAATATCATGTAAGTAGTTCCCTTTATATCAAACTTACATAAATAAATAAATCAAAAATCAATTTGCACAAAAATTCGAAACTCATTTTCGCATAGATACATATACCAAAGTTTTCACGCATTTTTCGATTATATAAGTGGATTTTAATCATGGATCACATAGTTCCTTGTAAGCTAGTTGAAAGCTTTTCACGCATTTTCCCCAATTTTAAGTGGATTTCAAAGCTTTACAGAGATACGTGTGAGTTAGTTTAGAACTGACTGCCCAAAAAGATTTAGACCACATAATTTCACGCACTTTCCACACATGTATGTGAATTTCACAGATGGATTAAGCACGTATAGCTTTTTACTAGAGACGCGTATATATTGATTTTTAATGTGAAACAACAACAAGATAATATCAGGGCAAAGAAATTGAAATATTTTCACCAGTATTTCACATACATGGGTGGATTCTCTAAAATCAGTAAGACATGTAATAAATTAAACTATTTATACTTATTTGCAGCCGAGCAGCAAAAAAACTTTCAGAATTCACACTTTCGTTAATTATTCTCACTTCTAAGTGAAATTACAAAAAAATAGAATAAATCAGGTTTAAATATTTGCAAAGGCATAAATTAATTAATTTTATGTTAAACAACAACAAAATTATTCCAAGGAAAACTGCTAAAAAAAATTGCAATTAAAATATTTTCACCTATTTTTCACATGGGTGGATTCCCTAAAATCAGTAAGCCAAGCAAATTGTATTTATTTGAAAGAAAAAACGTTTCATAAATCACGCTTTCGTTCATTTTTCACACTTCTAAGTGAACTCATGCAAATCAGTCAGCTGTAAGAGCTTTAAATATTTGCACATGCAAAAGTTAATTACTTTTGTGTTAAAGTATAGTCGTATATTAACCAGCGTAGCTGATCTCTGTAATATTGCAATTTGTCACAGTTGAAATGATTTTCATGCACTTTTAATTAAATATAAATATCAAATGTTTTTCGGTTGCCCGCAGCATGATGTTCGTATTGCATGGCACCTGGTTTATAGGCCCCAATGGCCATGGGCATGGCCACAGCCACGGCCACAGCCACAGCCATAGCCACAGTCATAGCCATAGCCATAGCAATAGCCATAGTCACAGTCATGGACACAGTCATGGATATGGACATGAACATGGGCTGGGCCACGCCCAGCCAACAACAATCAGCGCCAGCGACGAGCCTCATAATGTAGTTATAACAAACGGCTTAAAGCCAATCCAACAAAACGGGTAGGTGTGTGTGTGTGTGTGTGTAGAAACATATATATACTATAATCTATATATCTGAATCTGTATAATATATATGTGTATATTATATGTGCATATATTTAGCGTAATATATTGATTCAAATGGCCTGTTGCAATTTTGTGGCCTGCGGTTGAAGCTCTCATGAATTTGTTGTCAAACAAGAGCAAAAATTAATTTAGAAAAAAAAAGTCACATGGCGGGTAAAAGCGACTAATAGATGCCCCGTAACAGATGTTCTCAAAGGATTTTTGTATAATTATCGTACGATAGAAAATAGAATTAGATGAAAGTAGATATGAAGCTGAGCTGGTAAAGCACCTTTTCTATCATTTCTCTTTAAATTAATTTAATTTGTTTTAATTCAATTTGAGGTAATTCAGAATAAGAACTAGAGTAAGGAGTAAGAGTAAAGACTTGAGCGAAAAATTAACAGCCGAGAAAAAAGATTAAAAGAGAACTGTAGAATGGAAGAGATTGGTGTAGAGTAGAGAAAACACAGTGCGATTAAAACCAATTCCGTTCTAATTAATATTTACACATATTTTAACTGCAGAATTTTATCTAGAAATTCTTTTCAACTGTCTCCCACCCTCTCTCTCTCTCTCTCTTTCTGGCTCTCCCTCTGCCTAGCAAGCATTTCTCCTGTTAAAAATCTTCGAAGCTGTCCCCACCGAAGGCTATCAAAAGATTTCCCTATAGCCAGCACAGATATTGTTTTATGTTCGACTGCCTTTCTAGCCCCTGCTACCAAGTACAGGGTATAGCAACAAGAACAACAACAACAGGAAGCGCACAGCAGCTGCTGACTGCAGGCAATTGTTTGTTTGATTACATTTAATTGGAATTTAATTTAGTTGCATGTGCCACACAGACAGAGAGAGAGAGAGAGAGGGAGAGAGAAAGAGCAAGCGAAAGCTGCATTAGTTATGCCTGATTTGCTGTTATTAATTTGTGCCCCTCCAAATGCCTAAAGTTAATATTTGGTTTATATTTACCCCCGCTTACATCCTTACCCTTCACTTCCTACCATTCCATCATCGTGTCCAAGCAGCACGGAACGCAATCTGAATCTGCGCGCAGCGATGATTCATGTGATTGGGGATCTGGTGCAGAGCATTGGCGTCTTTCTGGCGGCTATTCTAATCAAATTCTATGTGAGTAGGCTGAGCTTGGTCTAGCGAGAGGTCGCGACCCAAGTCAATTAATTGACTAATTCAATTTTGCAGCCCAGCGCCAAGTACGTGGATCCATTGTGCACGCTGCTCTTCTCGGTAATTGTGATTATGACCACGGTGCAGCTGTTCCGGGAATCTGTCTCCATACTCTTGGATGCGGTGCCGCGCAGCGTCTGTCTGGCGACGCTGCAGCGCGACCTGGCCAGCATTGAGGGTGTCAAGTGAGTCAAGTGGGTCAATGAACCCGACAGACCCAACTATTGAACAACGCTTTTAATTTATGCCCCCAATACTTCATGCTATTCAAACAGATCGGTGCATCATCTAAATGTCTGGCAGCATACGAGCGAACACAATGTGCTGATGGCTCATCTGGTTGTGGGTAAGACACGCACATGAATATCATTATGTATATATGTACTTATTCATATCTTATCGGACAGACCTGCTGAGCGACTCGAATGTGGTGCTGGAGCTGGCAACGCAATTGGCCTGCAGCAGCAAGTACAACATCAAACATGCGACCATACAAATCGAACGCTTGACTGAGTAATTCAATTATGAAATTAGCAAATAGCTTAATTAAGTTCTATTATTACCTCTAGACATAAGCGACAACAAAAACAGCAACTAAAACAACAGCAATATATGTACTGACCGACCAAAGTCTGTGTGCTGCAGCATTATCAAAATGGCACAATTTTATGTGATTATATTTGTATTTGTTATAAGAGCCACGCCCGCGTCTTAGCCCCAAATGTTTCAAATTGATTTTATGATATTTAGATAAAACGTAATTTTTATGATTTTAAGTTTGATTATTTTATGCCCTAGGCCCAAGTGTTGGGCTAGTATAAGAATTGTTTCAAATATTTAGTATACGTAATAAAAATATAATCTTTAAAAGAGTCCCAAGTTTTTATATTTTGACAAATCGCCAGGGTCTTTCAGTTTAGGCGTTTAAGCAATTAATGTCTGCATAGATCTAAAGATTGATTTAACAACAATTTCTCACGCATTTTCCGAACGTGTAAGTGGATTCGCAAGAAAACTGAAGATTAATATATTAAAAAGAAGCTGATTAAAGATACCAAAACTGTGCTTTACAAAATGTAAATTTTAATTAACTGAAAAGTTTTTATGAAGAAGTTACTTAACATTTTTATACCCTGAACCATTAAAAATGGGTATAAGGGGTATATTGTATTTGTGCAAAATCCAAATGTATGTAACAGGCAGAAAAAAGCATCTCTGACCCCATAAAGTATATATATTCTTGATCAGCACCAATAGCCGAGTCGATCTAGCCATGTCCGTCTGTCTGTCCGTCCGTCCGTCCGTCAGTATGTATGAACGAAAGGATCTCAGAACCTATAAGAGGTAGAGAAATTTTAGATGTAGGTGCTCCTAGTGCCTGCCCCGTTTCCAAGCAATCGATAAAAATCGATATCGATATCCTGTTTTTTGGGCAATTTTGGTAAATAATAAGAGCTAGAGTCACCAAACTTGACATATAGCTTCTAAAATAGAATATATATATGCATTTGATGTTGGAAGAAGAGGGTTCAGGGTATCCCCTAGTCGGGAGCTCCCGACTAGAACCTCTTACTTGTTTCAAATGTTTTCTAGCTGTATTTCACGCATGTACGTGGATTCTTTGAAAAATATGCACAGCAAACGTTTTAAAAATATTAAGTATACGTAATAAAAAATATATATTCTTAAAAAATGTGACATTTTTTTGTATCGACTTTGACAAACTGCCGGCGCCTACCCAATTTTAATTGCTTGTCAGGCAAGCAAGAAGCCCTGCAAAGCGCCAGCACACCAAAAATAATTAGAATTTCAATTAGCTGAAGACAATGTAAACATTTTAGTTGTAAAAATCTGCAGGAAAGTCTACATACATTTACATATATATATGCATGCATGTACGTGTGTGTGTACAAATTAATTAGAATTTGCAGCATCAGCAAGAGATTTCGCCAAATAAACTGCGGCAGCTTTGGTTAGCAAAAACGCCGTGCACAGTGGTAATTGATGTCTTTATCTTGCGCTTCCCATTTTAATTAGAAAGTCACTTTAGAAGAAGCCCCGCCCTCCCCCCACACCATCTCACACTCAGTAACAGGTGCATTGGGTAAGAAATTAATAAGTGAAATGAATTTACATCAAAGCTGATTTGCTATCAGCGCGCGGTGCGTATACGTAATATTTAAGCTGGCCAGCGTATTGAACGTATTATTGAGCACAGTGAGTGGCAAAAGTATATGCAGACAAAAATAGTTGGATATATATGAATCATGAGAAATGTGTTGAAAAAAAGCCCATAAAACGGAATTTCTAATGAAAAAAAAACTTGGAGAGCAATAATATATTGGAAAAATATGCAATATGCTAGACGAAATTACCCGGCGTTGCGCTGGTTAAATGAATATTTATGGCAAAAGTTGTCACAGATTCGGTAATTATATGTATGCATACTTGTGGCTAGCAATGTACGTTTATGCACATACATAATAATATTTTGATTTGCTTAGGTGCCGATTTGCTCAATGAATATTTATTTAGGAGCGTGTTACAAACGAGCGCCTGCAATTGACTTGCATTTATGCATGGATGTACTATATGCTGATTATACATAATTATTTTTATGCTGCTAATTGTTGTTTTAATAATTCATTTGCCAGCTGAAGCACACACAGACACACACATACAGACAGACACACGCACACGCAGCAGTTGTCGCATATTTGGCATAATTCATATATTGGACAAACACACAAATCCGATTAGAATATCGCATCTCAACACATTCGGACACTCGCATGCCGCAGCCGGAATTCAATGAACCGGAAATGAGCAAATCAAGCATGGCTACCACACACACACACACACACACACACAGGCATACATAGTGCCATATAATGTTAACACATGAATGAAGTCGAAGTTTAAGCATCTTAATCAGTCCATACACACACACACACACACACACACGCACATTCGGCTGCCTAGTTTGAATGATGCCTGTGCATTTGTCAGCCCTTAAGCCGCTTCAAATTGAACAAAACTTCCCGATCCTTGAGCCCTTTTTGCTCCTTGGGGGCTGCAAAAACACAGTTCAATACGCTCGGACACGATTAAGTTATTTATAATTTATGAAGCTGAGCGTAAAATAAATAAAATACATATACATATACATATATATATATATATATATATATATATCAATTGTTGTATATATAACAAGCTATTTTTAGCACGCCGAATTTTAAATACACTTGTAGAATTATGGCTTTCGTTTTTTCGGCACGTTAGTGAACCGAAAAGATTTCCTTTCAAAGACTTATTATGGGACGGAATCTTTTTATAAAGCTCTATAATATAATAGTTTAATGTACATAAGGCTTGGTTCTTATAAGCTTTTAAATGATAAGTTTGCAGAAGATATTTAGAATAACATATAAGTTGTTCATACAAAAACTCAATTTGCGAACTCAATGGTCCGATATTGATACGACTCTGCACATACCTAAGAAGCTAAAGATCGATAGGACCGATCTATATAATATAGGTGTCCGATCCAGCAATCTTCGACATATATACTGCCTGCAACTGAGAGAAGGACCTATACAAAGTTTTACTTAAGTTGAAACAGACAGACGAACAGATGGACATGACTATTTGAACTCGGCTATATACAGATCTAGAATATATATATATATATATATTTTTTTTTTTTGTTGATTCGAAGAAGTTTCCCTTTTCATGTCAAAATGTATTATACCCTCTGCGATTGAGTAAAAAGTCAAATCGAAATCGAAATTTCCATTTCACTGCCAAGGAAATTGCGTTAAAATGATGAAGCTGAAGTGTGTGGCAGGCAGAAAATGCTCAGCTACACACACACACACACACACACACGCACACACATATATCTATATATACACATATATATTGTTAAGGCTTATCCGCACACATTTTAAATTACCGCCAACTGACCGGACCGTGCCCGGCCATATAAAGTTTCATAAATCAAACCATTCGGCATTGCGCATTAAATATGCAAAAGTATCGAACAGGGGCTCAACTAATTTAATTGCTGACCCAATTGCCTGCTGCAGAAGCGCACTTTTGTGTGGCGAGCACAAAAAAGTGGAAAAACTAATTAATAACCGTAAGAACAACAAATGTAAGTTATCAATGGCAGGGGCTGGGTGAGCTGGGCGAACGAACACACTTCCAAGTGCGCCAAGTGCCAAGTACTTGCCCATTTTTTCAAGTGGGCGTGGCGCTGGGGTGTGGAGGGTGGGAATCACACTTGAAATGCGCAAATGTAAAATTAATGGCATACTTGACTTGATGCTTTTCTAATTAGAAATGCATATAACAAAAATCGTAGCATACATTTCAGCTGCAGCTCAGCTCTAAAAAGCGCTTAAAGCTGAGCACTCGTCTACTCAGCTGCCACTTAACACTTCGCCCAAGCAGATACACACACACACACACACAGAAACACACACAAATACAGCAGCGAAGAATCAGCTAAAGTAATTGAAGTGGATTTGCACGTGCGCTGCAGCCACTCGCTGAGGAGTTCAGCTAAAGCGAAATCCATCGCGCACAGTAAACTCAACAGAAATTATCTGATTGGGGCTGTTAGAGGTGGACACCGGTCTAGAGATGAGCGCGTGACACGAACTGTACACAAAGATTATGCTAAAGGCACGAACATAGCCATATATTTACCAGCAAGTATTTCTGATATTTACTTGTTTATCCTAATGTTAAATATAAGATTATAAATATTCGGATTGCAAAGTTGCATGCACATTGTAAACCACATTGTAAAAAGTATAAAAAGGTAACGAGAATAAGCACATACATATGTATATAAATATTATTTAGTATTTTACTATTTGAAATTTTAAATTAGTTTTAGCATCGTCTTGAATGTAAAAATCAAAAATGTACATTGCAAAGATATCATAGCCATAGCTAAGTGTATACAAATCGACACTTAGGCCAATTTGCTCAAATTAGTATTTATTTGTTTATTTTATCTTTATTACAAAACAGTTTCACCTAGTATTTAATATTTAAAATGATGTTGGCAATGATATTCAAAAGCTTTAGCAAAAGGTTTAATAAATAAGTTTTTTAACTGAATCAAAGGCATTCATTCAGCAGCTCCTGAAAATTGATAAATTCTCTAAATACTAACTTTTATTTAATAGCTAAAAAGCTTACAATCCGAGCATTTGTCTTATATAAGTTATGTACATGTAAAATAACCAGAACAAATTACAAGCCTTGCGCGTTAAATATTAGTTTATTTTTAACTAAGGAAAAGCTGAACTCAAAATAGTATGTAAATTTATCAAAATCAACACAAAAAACGAATTTAAAGAATTTCAATTTTGATTGTTACTAAAAAAAACAAAAGTTTAAGTGTCCAATTTTTAAGAGTCAAAGAAATTATCAACACACCTCACACACACTTTCGCAGTACACTAGATGATATAATTAACCTGAGTTTATATATTTTTTTTTGTTGTCGTAAGTTTACTTAGCAGCTATATAGTTTAGGAAATCAGTTCGGCAGCACAGCCAAAAATGCAACTAATAAACTAATTGTAACGTCGCAAAATGTCTGATCTATTTGGCGTGTTCAGCTGCGGAACACCATAGATATAAGACTCGTCCCTAGAGGGGGACCGACCCGCATGT